ACACAGAGTTTGGAGTGATTGCTGAGTGTGCCAAGAGAAGGGGCCAGGGAGTTGTGGGAGGCACCAAGACGTTAGCCTGGGGGCAGGCAGATGTTCTGGGGTGTTTGTGACTCATGGGCACCATGCATCACCTCCACAGTGCAATTTTAGCAGATCAGGACTGCAGAGGAAGAATCCAAGTGTCATGGGCATCAGTGTGATGAGCGTTAAGGGACATGTGGGTTGACCGAGGCAGTGAGGGGAAGATACGGGTATGCATGAGCATTATATAACCTGGTAAATGACACGTTGGGCTCCCCCTACAGCAGGCCACATGAAGCTGGGTGGGCAGAGAACTGGGCATGAAGGTAGAGGGCTCTTGAAATAGTAAAGCATTCCGGAAACTGTGATCTGGGCATCTCTTTCTGAATTCTTCCTTGTTTTGACTTAGTTGCTTTTCTGAAATCCAGAATGACAGGAACTAAGATTAAGCTTCTCCTTTGATGTGGACATGATGATGCAAACCTGGACTCCCAGCACTTAGGAGGTAGAAACAGGAGGACCAGGAATTCAAAGTCATCCTGGGCTAATTCAGCATATGTGAGGTCAGCACGGGTTACATAAGATTCTGCTCTATCATAAGAAAAATAGATCTGGGCTATGGCTCTCTTGGAAATCCCTGCCATCCATCCAAGTACAAAGACCTGAATTTAGTCCCTGGGATCCAAATAAAAAGGCAGTGCTCCTTGGTGAGGCCCTGTAATCCCAGGCCTGGGGAAGTGGAGACGGGGTTCCCTGGGCTTGCTGGGTGCCCAGTCTTGCTGAATCAGTACCTTCCAGATTCACTGAGAGATCCTGTCTCAAAAACTGAGGTATAGAACCACTGAAGACAAGTGACATTGACCTCTGGTTTCTCAGCACAAATGCATACACATGTGCATACTTCCACACACCTGGGCACGGATACCTACACCACACACATATGTAAGTAAATACATGGAGGGGGAGACAAACAAAAACATCTCCTTTGAGCACACCTCATTTTAGCACACTGGTTAGGTGACTTAGCAATTGTTATACCCTTAAACAGGACAAGGTGCTGTATGCTTCCTTACCAGTCTATGACTGCCAAGAACACAAATATTGCATCAGTGAATGAACCCAGAACCCGTTTTCCTCCAATCTGATTGGCTGGGACTGTGGGGGAAATATACCTTAAGTGGACAGATTTGGGTAGAAGAATCTGAATTGGAAAGCCTGCTTTGCCCCCTGCCCCCATCTTTTCTTTTCCTCCATTTCCTCATCTCTGTAATGGGCTGCCTGAAATGTACTGCAGATGACCTCGTTCAAAGTTCCAGCTTCTAGAGAGAAATTCAAAATGCGTGTCACAGGGATAAGACGTTTGGAAATGGCCAAGCACAGCACAACCTCAGGACTGTCCTGATGTAGAGGGGACACATCCCTTGCTGAGGGGTCTCCCACTCAAGTATTTCCCCTCTCCTATACTTACAACCAGCCCCACCTTCACTTTTCCGTCTAGAGGGAAGGGCTTTGGCAGTCTGCCAGTAGAACAGGTGTCCTCCCCCCCTCCCCTGTCCATCTAATAGTATAATAATCTTCTGCCCCAGCGTCTCCGAGTGATTAGGGCACATCTCATGTCCTAGCTTCTCATCAAGAGGCGAAGCCAAGAAATCCACCTCACCTGGGAAGTGCAATAATTGCTTAATGGTGTCCTGCCTAGAGTGTGATATTTATATTATAAGATGGGATTTAAGTCTAAAAATAAAGGAAGTTGTCAGAGCTCAGGATTATTGATAGCGAGTATAAATGACAGTACTGACAGCTAACATGACGAGCTCTGGTTGGGTCCAGGTCTCTAAACTGGGAGGGAGGTAAAATTAATAATTAGGTCACTGACAATCTCCAGCCAAGGAGGGAGGAAACCACCTTCCCAGCTCACTGCTCACCCTTTTGGCCTTCACATAAAGAAAGCTACGTGTTGGAAGCACTGTGTAACTACAGATGCACTAAACCCAGAGGGATGAAACTACTAATAGAATTAACATCTTACAAAGCCACCAGCAGCTCAGTGCAATCAAATAGCACAGCAAATAAAAGTAACTTGATAGCCAGGTGTAATGGTGCACACCTTTGACTCAGCACTCTGGAGGCAGAGGCAGGAGGATCTCCTGTGAGTTCAAGGCCAGTCTGGTCTAAATATCGAGTTCCAGCCTACACAGTGAGACCCTGTCTCCACCCCCAACCCCAAATAAAAATAAAAAGTGACTTAGTTATTTTCCACAGACTATTCATGCTTAATTAGAGTCAGCGTGATATCCGTGTCACCCTAGAGAACAGCTGTGCAAATCTGGAACTTTGGGGTTGGAGTCATTTTCTCAGTTCTGTATCAACCATCCTCATGACTTCTGGGCCTCAGTTACCTCATCTGCAAAAGCAGGGCTTTGGACAAGAAGGCTTCTGAGGTCCGACATGGAGAGCAATTTCCTGGTTCTTGTTTATGTAGAAGCAGCATTGGACCCCTAGAGTGCCCAGGTCACCATTTTGAACATCAGTGGCCTTTGTCCAGAAGAGAGGCCTGATTAATCGACCACAGCACAGCGGAGGAGGTTTACTGTGACCACTTTCTTCTTCACTCCCCAGCTCTTCTCTCCTTGGAGAGTTAAGTACGACTGGTCAGTTTTGCTTTCTTTCTTTTTTTTTCTTTTCTGCTTTTTATCTCCACCCCCAGCTGAGATTTTTTTTTTTCATTTCCTCTCACTGCAGGTTTCAATCTTCCCCACTCCCCCAAAACAATATCCTCTACCCCATTGCACAAAATAAAAGAAAAGCTCCAAATTGGCTCTGCCTCCTTAAGCTTTTGGGAAACTGTTTTACTGTGCTTGTCTGTACAAATCTAAATTTGGGGCCTGTGCTATTTGGCAGTGTCTCTTTACCTCAGAGGAATCTTCTAGCCTCTCTCCATTTCAAAGCACTTGGGTCCACACAAAATGCTCTCGAAGAGAGAGAGCTTTCCACCCCCCCCCCTTAGTAAAAATTCAGGTCTGTCACCAGGAAAGAAGAGGTTCTCTGTGGAAATCATCCTCGTGCTGGTTATAAAAGCCACTCACATCTCAGTATGAACTCTGCTAACGTGCTTCGTTGTCTTTGTTAGAGAGAAGCGAAATCCACACAAAGGTATAAAGAGTTGATCCATATAAAGATTGCTCTCTGGATTCCACTGGGCCTCGGCTTTCTGATGACCGAATCTTTGCCGGGGACAGCTGTGCAATTGAGACCACAGCAGGACTCCAGATGTGCTGAGGCCTTGCCAGGCAACAGACTTAGAAGTTTGGCCAAATCAGCCCCAGATAATCACCAGAGAAGAAGAGGGAATTGGGTGGGGGTGAGGGGAATGGGGAATGTACAGGGCTGGTCCAAGGCTTTGTGTAACTCAGAAGCTGGGGCTAAGCTCAGGACAGGGGGAGCAAGGAACGGAAGGTCTTCCAGTCTTCTCAACCCGTGAGTACCCTTTCCTCCACTCTAAGAAGAAAGGCTAAGAGCAATGACCTAGGAGGTAATATCACATAATGACTGGTTGTCTGGGCCCATGAACCCAGTAGGAATCTTGGCCCAGCCTCTAACTAGCTGTGTGACCTTGAAGATACTTTGTAAGACTTAGGCTGCCAAAGCCCTGAGAACGTGCTTGACATGCACCCATCATAACGGCTGAATTAAACAGGAGAAATTAAACAAGCAGCTAAGACACTAACTAGATGAAGATCAAACAGCTAGGAGATAGTAGAGATTAGTGCAAATACCAGCTCACAGTTCCTTCCACTACACTCAATGTATCTCATTATAACAGTCACTTGGCTGAGCAGCTCTTGAGCAGAACCTAGAATCCAAATATTAATACAATATCCCAAGTGACATGGGACATGGTGAATCATACCTGTAATGTCACACTTAGGAGGCTTACTGAGAGTCTGAGGTAAGCCTGAGCTACATAGTAAGACCCTGTCTCTAACATACGTACATAGGTACACACATACATAACAAACATGTAGAAGTCTGAAGACAATCTTGTGGGGGTCAGTCCTTGTCTTCCACCCTGCTCAGGACACGGTCTCTTTGCCTTTTGCCACTGCATGCACAAGAGTAGCTGACTGGAGAACTTCTAGGCATTTCCCTGCCTCTGCATCTCTTCTCAGGGTAGGGACCCAAAGATTGCTGGCACATGCTTTCCATTTTTTGGGGATTCAATCTTGGGTCCTCTGTTGTGTGGCAAGTGCTTTACCCATTGAGCAATCTTGCCAGCCCCCAGTGATACTCTTTGATTGAACAAACTAACCAACTTTTCACAAAACTTGAGACAAGGATACTAAATTTCCATATGCTGTCTTTAATAGTGATGGTTGAGAAGACCCAAAGTATTCTTCTATGGGGCATGTTTTAGCAAGATCGGTCTGCTTGGGGTTGTGTGGTTCTTCCTTAGTTGTTGCTAGGAATCAGGGAGTTCTTTGGGGCTGGTATCATGTAGGCATACATGGGGGATGCAGAAAAAACATGCCTCAGGTGGGAGCAGAAGAGAAACAGATGATTAGAAATTTCTCACAGTGTCTCTTGAACATGCTCACCCAGGAAACTTTGCTTTTAATGGTTACTTTGGGTAACCACAAAGGATAGTGTGGCTGTGGTTGCAGCTATGCTGGGAGAGAGAAGTGTGTGTCCTAAAGCATTTAGGTACAAAGGCAGGTGGCTTCAGATCGACTGCAGGTTACGAAATGGAAAAGCCCATTGTCGTTTTGGACTTCTCAGGGAGCCAAGAGTAAATAATACTTCTCATATGGCTTTAGCCTAGTGCTATCTTAATTGCAATCTCTGGTGAGATTTGGAGTTATGCGTTTTTAACAAGCAAACCATAAAATAAGGTTTAATCTCCCCAGAGCCCTGGAGTTAATTTATCTGTCCACAGGCTAAGATCTTTTTAAAGGTTAAGAATGCTTGGGTTTTCTTTCTAGGTCTCTGGATTGGCTAGAACACCTGCAGGTGTCTCCTATGGCTGGCGGCTGGAATCTGGCTTTCATCAGTGCTAAAGACCCAACCTCAGGAAGCCCTGCAAAAAGAATCAGGTGTTGGAGTCTAGCAGTCATGAACCCTATTTTGTTCAGATGGCGAGGAGCTGGTATTACCAAGAATGGCATCTGTAGCAGCTGGTGTGTCCAATTTAGCCTCAGAAGGAAAAGGGTTGACTTTCTTCCACCATTGAGAGGTGCAGAGGTTTGGGGAAGATGAGCTAACCTCTCTTGAGTTTCACCATCTGTAAAATGAGGATGAATGAATTTGCCTTGGGCCAGTGAGATGGCTCAGTGAGTAAAAGCCCTTGCAGCTAAGCCTGAAGACCTGAATTCCATCCCTAAGAACTGACTCATGCAAATTGTCCTCTGACCTCCAAATGTGCATCGTGAGGCTCATGTGCACTCAAGCACACACTAAATAAGTAAATAAACAAACAAATGTTGTAACAAAAGTAATCTATGCTGGAGACTTCATTATCCTTCATTGTTCAGGAATCTCAATGTTCTTTGAACATTATTAGGTGGTACATAGCTGGCTCTTGTTTTAATAGTAAAACAGCACGGTTATTAAGCTGACTTTCTTATCTAGGTGTTCACCCAAGTGAAATTTGCCTCATCAGAGTACAAGGACATATTCAGGTATTCAGAACACATCTAAAACTCAATCTCAACTCTTGTAACTGGCCATCATAGGTTCATTGCTGAAGCACAAAGAGTGCAGGATATCACACACGCCGTGCTTGCAAAATATCTGTGCACATGTGACCTCTATCAGTTTGGCAGGGTCACTTCCTTGCCAGAGCATCTTTTCTGCCTCTGTCAAGTTCAGAGGGTGTCATAACTACTTCACCATCTACTGACTAAGAGACAGCTCTCATTTCCATCCTGTAGGGATGCACCCCTAGGAAGAAGAATAAGAGGAGCCCACATACACTATAGGTAGAGAAGATGGAGGAAGAGCCCTTTATTTAGACACCATGCTCCAATCTTCCATCACTGGAGTTCATAGCCCCATTGACTAGCCTCTATTCTTCAAGTTCTGTTAGAGCCTGCTTGTCTCTCCCTCCTCACCAATACAATGGTCTCTCCCCATTGCTGGACTTGATGGATTCTCCCCATACTGCCTGACTCCCCGTGTCCTGCCAAATCATTTTACTATTGTCCATGAATCATGACCACAAGGCCACCAACATGTAAGAAAACTATCCCTGATTAACCTTGTATCTTGCTAGCATTCCCCATGCTTTTCCATCAACACCTCTCCCACTATTGATATATTTAAAAAGGTTATAATAACCCCTCGTCTCAAGAAAAACCATAAGGGACAAAGATGATCCTTGAGAATTAAAATTTTGTGTCCTGTGCTTTGCTCTCTGAGAGGTCTGCAGAAAAACTATTCTGAGCAGCTACAAACAAGCAAAGGCCAAGTTCAGCAGGAGTAGGAAGTAAGGCTGGTGTTGAGGCTCACGATTCTTACTAAGGTACATGCTGAAGTGTGTTTAAACGTTCTTTGTTTGGGGGATTGTAAGTCATGATAAAGAATTAGGGAGTATATGTCAGAGGGAACAGAATTGTTCCTCTAAAGTATCAATCCACACCTCATAAGTCTTCCTTGGCTCCCCATGACACAAGAGAGAAAACCCACACTTGGCCAGGGAAACAAGTGTGTATACAAGTTACCACCCATCACCACCCCACCCCCACATACACCCCTTTATGCCTTAGCAGTGCCTTCCCCATCCCAGTCAGGTGCACCAGGCTCCGCTCCTCATCAGCACCACTCAACTCTTGTCCCTCTGCCTGGAACATTCTTCTTTGCTCTTCCCTATCCCATTGTAACCTAAGCCATAGAAATCACACCATCTCCTTGGATTTTTATCAGGTCACCCTAGTCAGGGACAAACAAGTCTGTCTTCCTGATACTCCTAGGACAGTGCAACCCTTCATACAGTTCCTCACACTGGGGTGGCCCCCAACCGCAACATGACTTTTGTTGCTACTTCATAACTGTTATTTTGCTGCAGTTACGGATCGTAATGTAAATATTTGATACAAAGATGGTCTTAGGTGACCCCTGTGAAAGGGTCGTTTGATTTCCCCCCTCCCACCCCTGCAGAGTTGTATCACATAGTTTGAGAAGCACTGTCTTAGAGTGTGGGCTTGCTTCTTGTCACCTCCAGGGACTGCATTCTTCTCTTTCTTTCTTTCCTTCCTTGCCAGCCTCTCAGCCAGCAATTGGGTCCTCGAAGGTCCCATATGGAGTTGAGTTGAGTTGAAGTTACTGAATTCAGCCTGCAGGGTTTCTTTCTTCCTTCCTTCCGCAACACCCCACGTTTCCTGTCCTTCTCCCATTTCCTCCAAGACAGGTAGCATGCTCACTGTCAGGACATCCAAGGAAATAAGAAACCTTGTTGTGGCCCCTGTGCCTGCCCTGCCTCCCTCCCCTGAGACTGCAGACCTTACTGCTAAAGGGACACTGGGAAAGAAATGATGCTGCTCCCTTCCCCCACCTCTGCCACCTCCCATGCTTCCCTGAGAGCTTAGTCTCTCCCAACCTTCATCTTGAGACAGGTGGAAAAGCAGCAATAATCCAATTAAAGTGTCTGACACAATGGCCAGGTGGCGCCATGCTGGGGAGGAGGTGGGCACACAGGGGCTGTTAGCTGTCTACCTACAGGGAGAACATTTGCCATAAGATTCACAGATTAAAAATCAGTGGCCTCTGCTTCCTCTCCAGAGTGTCTTTGTAAGAAATTGGTTTGGGGCAGAAGGGGACAAGGTCCTTTCTCTTTCTTTTCCCACCTTGATGGCATTTAGAGGAGGCAGGAAGAAGAAATGTTGGAGGGAGGAAAAGAATAAATCAGAGGCGCTGGCAGAGTCAGAAAAGCCAGGCGTGTCTCCAGCCGAACAAGCCTGCTCAGGAGAGGGGTGGCCACTCTCCTGCCTTAGACTCTTCCCTCTGCCGCCCTTGGTGCATGCCCTCACTTTCTCTCTTTTCTCATCAGATGATTGCCACTGCCCCAGCTCTGGGACTCCCACAGGAGCTCTGAGTCCACACAAAGCCCAGGGGCCATCCCTGGGAAGTTGGAAGGAAGGAAGGACAAACCATCCACACTCTACCTTCCACTGAGGACAGATACCGGCTCACAGCAAAGAGCCAGCCGATGGAGAGGAACCCTTACAGGTGTGGGTGCTGCTGTGCCCCCAGTCCTCCTATACAAGTATCCCAGCACCCCGGTTACCGGTTCCAACTCACCCGGATACCTCCCTGCCCACAGACCCATGTCCATCCAAATCTGACTCCCACACTGTTTATGACTGGCCAAGCAGGCTTCCCATACCCTGGCTGACTGGACTGGACCAAGTTAAAGGCTCGTCCCTTCATTATCCCAAAGAGAGTTTTTTATTCTGACTGAAGCAAACACTACACCACATTGGCAGAGAATGAAATATATATATATATATATATATATATATCCACAGAGTAGCACTTCAAAGTGTCCAGTGGAAAGGTTCCACTTTAATTAGGGGGAAGAAATTACCACGTACCTTAATTAGTATCAAATTAACCCCCCCCAATACAAGACAGAAAGATGACAGGAGAAAGGGTGGCAATGGAGCTATTGACACAGTCTATCTGGTTTGGTCATGGACAGACAGTGAGAAATTTGTTTTCTAGATGAGGCCTTGGGTCAGAAAAGAACTCAAATGCCACAAGGTGATCTTTGCCACAGTAAAGGTCTTCTTCTACCATCCCTGATGCTCTGACCATTGTGCAAAATAAAGTGAAGACCTAAGGTAGTTATCTGGACATTTCAAAAGAGAAATGCAGAAATCTTATTTCATAAGAAGTGTTTGCAGAAAGTGTTTTTGGAGAGCCTGTCACTTGCTCTTTGTGTGTGTGTGTGTGTGTGTGTGTGTGTGTGTGTGTGTGTGTGTGTGTGTGTGTGGTATGTTGTGTGTGTGTTCTCATGCTACAAGTATACATGTTTCATGTGTGTAGGTGCATGTATTGACTAATGAATGGTGCCGGGTGACATTCCTGAGGAGCTGTGCATCTTATTTTGGGCTTGTCATGTTTTGGTGGTTTAGTTTTGTTGTTCTTGTCAGTGTAGTTAGATTGGCCAGGTTTTTCCTTTGGTTTTGGTTTGGTTTTTTTTTTTTTTTTTTTTTTTTTTTTTTTTTTGGAGACTTGTCTCTCTGTCTTGGATCCAGGGCTCACCAATTCAGCCGGGTCACCTGACTAGCAAGCCTCAGGAATCTGCTCCCCCCTTCCTGTCCCCAACACACGCAACACACGCACCCAGTGATACACTCAGCATTCCTTTTTAAACCTGTTGTTGAGATGAAAGTCAAGCACTACCCACTGAACTCTCTCTCCCATTTCCTACCTAGTAATTTTACTAGAAACCACCCATACTTCCTTCTGCTCAGTGCTCTAGCAGACATCTGGGTATCTGCCTGGTTTCTCCTTCTCTCTAGATAACCAGTCCATACCAGCAGTTCTAGCTGCCAGTTCTCAAGCCTGCCTTCTTCTTCCTTTCCCAGCTTCCAAGCAGGAGCCTACCAAAGTCTTTGTTTTTCTCACCTGTTCTCAGGAGTGCAGTTTCCAGCTGGCAGCCAGGATGGTTGCTGTTTGTCTGTTTATTTTTTTAAAGTGTTGTTGTTGTTTAGACAGTCTCACTATAATAGTTCTGGCAGGCCTGGAACTCACAGATATCCTCCTGCCTCCCCCCCCCCCCAGCCAAGTGCTGAAATTAAAGGTGTATGCCACCAGGTACTGTGATCTTTAAATGAATGAGCTCATGTCATTCCTCTGCTCAAAAAGCCATCTGTGGCTTCCCACCATCCCTGGATGATCTTGTCCCCCTACCCTGTTCTGGGCACTAATCAAACCATTGGGATCTCCCCCACAAGATTTCTTCTTTTCAGGACAATGTCTGCTGGGTCTTGGCTGCCCTCACTTTTACTCATCCTTAGAGATCTGATTTAAATGTTTCTGCTCTGGGAATAATTCTAAGGTATCCAGCAAGAAATTCCTATATATGTGTATAGTTGAAACACACACCAGAATAGAACCTGTTAAGTGTCTGGCTGAATACCTGCTTGATGTAGACCTCTTTCCGGGGACTATAAGCCAAGCAGAAGCAGAACCTATGAATGTTTCATCACATCTGTTTGCGGTATTGTTTACTCAGAATCACAACATTCTGATTCACATACGGCTGGATTTCAATCTCACCACAGCCATTATTTTACTAAACTCACTTTACAGAGGTAGAATCCGAAGTACTGAAGCCAGATGTTGTCCAAGGTCACACACATGGTGGGTAGAGGGCCTGGCCTAGCCTCTCCATTCCACTCATACTGCGGATGCACAATACCCATTTGCTAGGGAAAGAACGACCCTGGGTTAATGGATGTGGAAATAGTTGGAATAGAAGTGACCAGAGGGT